AAGCAAGAAAAAGGAGAATTGATAAAAAGTCATCTTATCGAGCCTTTATAACTCGAGTGAATAAGACTACAAGGGTTTAAAACCTGGTGCCCTAAAGCTAACTGGTTTGGGAGTCATCGCCTAAAGTTCGTTACATGGGTTATATAGAATGCAAATGAGAAGATGATACAAAAAAAAATAAATAAATAAAATAAAAGCCCTCGTTGGACATTTGGTTGATAGAACTATAACCTCAATGCGAGGCAAGTAGCTTAGTTTAATCCTAAAGGTTGAAGCAATCAAAATAAGGAGAGTCTCTACTTGTTGATATGTGAACTTGTAATGGTAAAATCTATCCAAACTAAGAGAGGGTAAGAATTAGAATTGTTTAAACTCCTAACCTTAGAATACACCCCGAAGAAATTGTGTGAAAAGAATACATTTGGGGATTGTGTATCTCTCGAATGACGTAAGGATAAATTTGACCACTATGGGTTAGGAATAAACTAATCATAAGCTTGATATGTTGGCATGAGTTCACACACACACGTTGAGTATTGCATTTGATGAGTAAAGGTTGATTCAATTCTCGCACTCTTGATATTGTTTCTATTATTATTACGAAGTCCAATCCTGAGACAGGGCAAGCCATAAAGCCATGTTTGTTTAGCATTAAGTCACTACATTATTTGAGGACAAACAATAGTTTAAGTTTGGGGGATTTGATAAGTGTATTTTTACACTAATTTAGCTCACAAACATGACTTAAATATGGACAAAGTAGTTGAATTATGACTTAATCTCGTTAAATTCATGCAATGTAGGTGTTTCTATGGAAAAGATGGAATTTAGAAGAAAAGAGCCGAAAAAGGACCAAAACGGAACAAAGCAATAGTTCGGGGACCAAATGTGCAAATGTTGGAAAGTTGAGCTAAAGTGCAGAACTAGAATGAAAATATATCAAGTATGAGATTGAGGATGATACAAGACGATCGGAGGAAGAAAGAAGTAACATTGGACAGAATTGAAGAAAAGTGAAAGATGAAGGATTAAATTGCAATTAATCAAAAGATGAGCCGAGCAAGTGATCAATGAATTGATTGACCTAAACATCAATTAGGAGTCAATATTTGATAAAAGAACAAAGGAAAGAAAGAAAAGAGATCAAAAAAAAGAGAAAACGGAGTTCAGGGACCAAAATAGCAAGGTTGTAAAGTTACAACCTTGCGGCCGCATGCAACTATACCATGCGGCCGCACATGAGGAGGTAGGGATATTATTGGGGCATATCACTTGAACCACGCGGTCGCATGGGTTAACACCATGCGGCCGCATGGCTTGAAAATTCGATGAAAATTCTGAACTTCCGTTTTTAATTGAAACTCCTTCGGGGCTCCGTGAGGACATGGTATGAAAGCCAAAATTCATCAGAAATAGGGTAGAACGTCCAGGGAGAAGAAAAATATAAATTTTGGAGGCAAGAAACACGAACTTGAAGCCGATTTCACAAGAATTCAAGCGGGTTTTCAAGGTTTTATTCAAGATTTCAAGAATTTTCATACGGGTGCTATTCTTTCTATTTATTAATTTCGTTTTTTTCTGTAATTATGAATCTTCTAGGCTAGGTTTTCAATTACTAGGTGATCGATGAACCATTGTTTGTTATTTTAATTGCATATTTCATGAATTTAATATAAAGACTCGTTTGGATAATTTGATTGGTTTATATGCATTAATTTTCTTCCACAATTAGTGGCCAATGATTGTGTAAGTGTTGATAACTTGTTTCTTACATTCGAGAGAAGTGGAATAGGTTCGATAAGGTATAAATCAACATAGGGTCTGATAGGAGATAGAGATATATCCCTATGCTTTATGCAATTCTTTAATTGTTCACAAAACCATATGCATTTTTGTATATTTGTATCATCCATAGAGATACAGGCTGGTGGTGTACAAGAATAGGTCTAATATATATTGAGAGAATATATTGGATAGAATTAGGAACATTGAATTGACAAATTTCTATCGGGTCATTAATTTTATGAAATTAGGGTTTTTATAACTTCAATTGGGGATTCGTGATCTTAATGACTTTAGTTTGATTCATTTCCATAAATTAGTTTTTGAATTTGCATAATTTTATTTACTTGAGTGTTTGAGTCGTTTAATTAGAGAAATTTTGAAATTAGGGTTTCTAATTGAGAAATTAGGGTTTTTAATTGAAATTAGGGCTTTTTGCATTTAGACCATATTTTCACTCAGTTAGATTCGGCTAAAGTTAGATTATATAGAATTGAACTACTCAATCTTTGAGGGACGATATTCGGACTTTTTAAAATCCACTTTATTACTTGTTACGAACCGTACATTTGCGATAATTTTAAATCGAAAGAATTATTTCGTGAACATGGAATTTAATAATTTATTGTATAAAGCAAGCTCAGAAATTTGTTAGATGACTTCTAGGCTTGACCGACTCCCTGCGAATTATTTTCAACAAATAGGAGATTGAATAATCAACAAATAGTTCTTAAAGTTGGAGCTTAAATATTTATATTAAAGTATTGAACTTATGGGCATAAGGGCTTTAAAACTGCAACTTCCAAGGTTAATCATAATAGTGGAATATCAGACGAGAAATTCATTCATAATTGTCGCCGTCTGATACAGTTTCTAATGTGCATGTATTTTTGTGTGAGTGGTAAATGCAAGTAATTTGAGCCGCATATATGAATGCGCGTTTTCATGTTTGGTTCCGATTTTTTATTTCAAAAAATCAACTTTTTGATCTTTATTTTTCTAAGTTAGTCATCATTTTTTACTTCTCTAACGGTCAAAAAATAATTATCATAATTACTACCAAACAAACACTCGGTGGTTATGATCACTTTGTGTTCGAACAATAAAGATTAATTTTGTTCGGATCCAAAGGCTAGGTTCTGTTTTCCAAAATCATAAATACGGTGTCTTTAGCATCATCGTAGTTTCCTATCAAGGCACTGAGAGTATCTTTGGACTATTGTATTTAGAATGCTAAAAACTTTTAGAGTCCTTTGATTATTTGGAATAACAATTTCAAAGAATTTTTTTTTTCAAAGTGATTCTCAAAATTGGGGTGTTAGACTGTTAGTACTGGGGCTTTGTCTAGGGATGATGGTGTTCTATCATCATCCTCGTCTTTGATGATTTCACCGTGCTCTCCCGTAGTACCTTTGATAGTTCTTCTATCTGGGAAGCAGGGGCAGACCGGGCAGGGGGGGGGGGGGTTTACAGGGTCAAGCAACCCTCTAGATTTAGCTTCTTCTTTTTTTTCATTAGAAGGTACCCTATAAATTTTATTTGTGATCCTCTAGCCCAAATCGTCTGGATCGTCCTTGCTGAGAAGTATACAAGTCAATGAACATTTGGGATTGTCTCGTTTGGGACGATTCTCTCTTTCTAGCAGTCTCTCAAATAGACGAGATAGAGAAACATTTAAAAGAAGCTAACAAATTGGTAGCAATCATTTTGAATTACATTTGCCATGTTTTGTTCAATGTATATACATTTGGAAGGAAATACTACAGTGGCATTATATTTCATCAAACTTGATTTCTCTAAAACGCTTTCGTTAGCCACTGGCTGACAAGAGCAATATATGCCATAAATCTCCACCTTTGGGTGGTTCTTAAATATGCGAACTTAGAAGTCACCAAAGAGAAGGGATATTGTAAAACATTTTTGCTCGTATTGTTCTGCAGACTCTGTGTGTCGAATACGTTTTATGTTGTTTTACCGTCCAGAGAGATTTGCAAGGTCACCACATTATTTTAGTTTCATTTGAATGTAATGTTTTTGAATGACTTGATAATGTAATTTTTGTAATTTTGTATTTCCTTTTTGTAATGAAAAAAATCTTTTGAACTTTCGATTCGTTCATTGATGCCAATATTAGCCACTTGAGTATATAATACGGCGCATTCTGCACAAGTTGGAAAGCTCGTACAATTAACTAAGTATGATTTATAGACTTCGCGATATCATTGAAGTGTAAATCCCCCTCAAGATCCACCACCCAGTATGACTCGTGGAATTAGTTTCCATTGTTAAACTCGAAATTGAGATTAACAAATTCCTATCATCTGGTCAGAATTTTACAACTCACAGATTTTATGCTTAATTAAGAGTAAGAAGAGAAATTACTGTTTGAAAGGAGGATATTCAGATTTGCATGCATTTCTTTATTCCCAACTATGCTTATTTATAATTTTTTATGAGGTCATGGGGGTCATTACATCCTTCCTGTTAATGATTCATGTCAATCATTAATTAGTAAACTTGTCACCGTTTGTAGAGACTCACTCACCTGCTAGAGATTCTAATTCTAGTTACGTGGATGGGGACATTCTACTCTTGTTGGACCGGTGAGTATATAATTACATTAAATTTTGTGTTGAAGATCTTGCTGCAATTTGTTGCCGCGATATGATCTTGTTTCAGTTAAATCCCTCGTGGCATATAATTTCCTCTGTTAACTGGAATACTTAAAAGAGCAACTTGAAATTTCACAATGAACTTCAGCAACCATTTTTGAAATAATCTCATTATGTTAGTGGCAGTTTTTCAGTGAACACATAAGAGCAGATTTACTTTTGCCAAGAAGTGATAAAGAAATGTGAATAAAGGGAAAATCCAACAAATATCAAACGGCCTAGATGTACCAAAAACCAATAATTGAACAGGAAAAGAAACACACTGTGCATGGATTCAGCAAAATAGCATTCTCAAATAACATCCACTTCCACTATGTATAATGGACACCAAATTAAAGGTCTTAATTTGTATACCTATGAGTTGAAAACAAAAACATGGTACAACTGGGAAATTCATATTTCAAAAAAGATTTAAACTTGTCCATCAAGACACTATTACTCTATTAGTCAAACCAGTATTAAGTTAAGAGCATTTCTGTTACACTTCCACAAGTCAGCAAATATTCTGAGATTGCACCTTTAATGCTAAGAATGAACATTACCCGGTTTCAATCAAATAGAAAATCATCAAATCTTTCAATCTGTTATTAAAACGAAAGGCCATGGCAGAGCACAATGGATTTTCAATAGGACATAATACAGTATACAGAATGGATGGGACAACAAGAGAGAGCTAGTTTACAGCTGAGGTATACAACTGATTACACAAGCTCTAGGCTTCTATAAATAAGTATAGGTGCCAATTGATTCATGATTACAAACGTGACAAAGGTATGTTAGAGGCGTTATTACTGGTCAGGAAGGGGTAATCGGTATATCCTACAACGGGATCATGGGTATAGAAAGTAGCCCTAACGTACCTGTTTAAAGGTGCGTTGAGCTTGAGCCTCGACACTAAGTCCGGGTTTGCAATAAATTGCCTGCCATAAGCCACCAAATCAGCATCGCCCTGAGCCACAGCTTCAATTCCAAGCTGCCTAGTGAATCCACCACTACAAATGAAAGTTCCCTGATAAGTCCTTCGCCAAGTCATCATGAATCGTGCCTCCTCATCTGGACTCCCATGATTGCCAGATTCTGTTTGCCCATAGGCTGTATATCGAGGCTGAGTCACGTGTAAATATGCGAGCTTTAATCCACAATCTATTTGGAGCCTGTTGAGTCTCTCAATCACTGCCAGGCCTAGGCTGAGTGGATCGGAGTCCATCGCATCAAGATGATCGATTGCAGGTGACATTCTAACACCGACTTTCTCGGCTCCAATGGCTGTCACAACTGCTTGAACTACGTTCATTATGAATTTGCAGCGGTTTCCAAGAGATCCGCCATACTCATCTTTGCGTTCATTGATCCCATCCTTGAGGAATTGGTCAATCAGGTAACCATGAGCCCCGTGGATCTCAACGCCATCAAAACCTGTTCATTTTGCATCATTAGTAGGTATTAGGTAACGATATCACCCTGCTGCTAACCTTGTACTCGAAAAGCTAAAAGAGTGAAGAGATTTAAGGTGATACAAAGAGATTACATTTGTCAGAAATAATATATTATAATGCTTAATATTGTGTATTGAGAATTTTCTTCACTCCTATTAGGGGTAACTGCATCTGCTCTCCTTGTTTCGTTAAAGTACAGCAGAAGCCGTTGTGTCCTTAAAATAATATGACAACCCTATAGTAAATGACAAGATTCTCAATGGATTGAACTGTATCTGGAAAAATGACTTCAACGATGGAGGGATTTTGTATTCAAAAGTCTCATCAAAACAATAATATATATATATATATATATATATAAATATTTTAGCATGGCAACATTTGCATTGACAATTGCAATAAGCATGGGGAAATTGCGAATGTGGAGAAGATGGGGTGATAAGACAAAATTATTCCCACAGCCACCCTCCGCGTGCAATAATTTAGTACCTTAAATTTCCATCCATCTTTTATTAGCCTCATTACCAATCTTCAGGTGGTGAGAACAATTATAGGATATTCATTTACCGAAAATACGTATAGCTTGTTGAATCATCAAATTTTCCATACGAGTATCTCGATAACTAGTAAGTACATTTCAAGTAACAAAAATGTGTACCACAAAAATTAACTTCGCTCCTCCATAGAATCATAATGTGGATTTTTCAAGTGAAGATAATATAATTATATTTCTAACACAACATTCACATAATCCTCTAATGAAAAAGGTTGACTGACCTGCTTCAATTGCATTTAAGGCAGCCTGGCGATAGTGTTCTACCACCTGCGGTATCTCATAGGTTTCCAATTGACGTGGCTTTGGGTAAATCCCGTAACTCCCATCTGGCATTAGAACTCTCCACCTCTTTGATATTGGCTTGTCCGTGGAAGCTATTGGAGAAACCCCACCAGGCTGAAGCACTGTGTGTATATCCATGGAAACTTACTAAATTTGAACTATTACGCAATGCATATGGAAATTCTTTTTGATTACTAGATTTTATCAATGATTTCTGGTACAAAAAGACAATAAAAACCATTTGGGAAACTAAAACATTTTCCAAACTTCGTGTCAATATTTAGTCAAGAACTCAGTAGCACAAGTTGTATAAATATAACCCTCGTATCTCATCTTGTCACAGATGAGATATTATCAAAAAATACACTTCCGAAGATGCTGCTTCTTTATCTAAAACCAGTATCAGCATCCAATTCTTCAATTTACTAACTGAAGCACTGTGCTTATAAATTCCACTCTCGAAATAAAAGTACAATGCACATAGGAAATGCTTTTTGATTACTGGCTTTTATTAATGATTACTAGCATAAAATGTCAATGGATTCATTGGTTTTGTGGGGACGGGGAGGGGGGGATTCGTGAAAGTGATTGCCAATTTTCTCATCACCTCGGTTGTGGGTAAGTTTTATGAACAATTGATAAGCACTACTAGAAATTACTTTAGAGTTGTTCTCAGTCAAATCACAGCCATTTATTGGCATTACTAAATGCTAGGAAGCATCATCCAAACCCGTGACTCTGTAAGACCTCCATGCAAGCCCTCGGTCATTGAGCCGACCTCGTCTATTCGAAAGGACACAACCCCAGCCAGCCTTCCGAATTCTACCCCAGCTAGGACATGCGAGAAGGATATAACTCGATACGGACACACACGCAATTTTTCAGAAAGTACAACAAAACATGGTGCTTCCTAGGCTAAATGGAATACCTTGATGCGATGCCCTGCCCACATGCCACAGTTGACAGAATATAATTGCTCCTTTCGCGTGCACAGCATTTACTACTTTCTTCCATGCCTCAATTTGCTCCTTGTTAAAAATGCCAGGCACATGTGGAAACCTGTAGCCACAGAAAAGAAACAGCAAAATTATCATCAGATTGGAACAAACATTAAGGGCCATTTGGTATGACTGTCGAGAAGCCAGAAGGAGCATCCTGACCCGAAAAGTTGGTTTTGGATTCATTTGGCTAATTTTACAGAAATGTTTCTTCTAATTAGAAGGCTTGAAAGCTGGTTTAATGTGATTTCCTCTAAAAGAACTTTTGAATTAGAAAGTTCTTTTAGAAATTAGTTTCCAAACAAAATTAAGTTTAGTTTATGTAGGAACCTCTTCAAAAAAATTAAAAGTTATACCAAATGGAGCACGTGAAAATCTCTTGAATGGTCCTGTAGTAACGATGGTAATAACAACTTAAGTACAGTTGATATAGTTGAAGCACATGAATCCCACAAGGCTTTATAGTAATGATAAACTTGAAATGTATGATTGAATATTATTCACCATTACAAAAACTAATGGAGCCACTATATATATATATATATATATATATATATATATATAGACACACAAACTTTTAGAAAGAAATTATATTATATTTTTAAATTTTATGTAAATTTACTTAAATAGACATATATAAAATTAAATAAAAATATATCACTATATATAAATTCATTCACTAATAATTATTTTCAATAAATTCTTTTGAACATTTTCATAAAATCCTGATATTCATGAAATGCCCTCTTCAACTAAAGTCAAAACAACAAAGAAAAAGACACCATTAGAGTGAATATATATATGAAGAAGAATTTGAAAAAGTAAGGATTACCTTTCATTGTGGGTTTGATGAATTTAGTACGTGAATAATTCTTGATTTGTGTTTTGATTATTTGATAATGTGCCTTTTGAATTCAAGTTGTATTAGTAAGAAATTTCATTCTGAATTATTTAAATTTTATGTTGGGATTATTTTTCTTTTCTTGATTTTCTTTAATTGAAAACATTGATTGCTATCTTTTCTAATAGTATTATCAAAATAAAATTTAAAAATTTTGAATTTTCTGTTGGGATTATCTTTTTCTTTTCCCCCTTGATTTTCCTAAATTCAAAATTATCACAAGAAGTAAAGAAATTTGAAAACGCATGTTGATGGTAATGATTAATATATGAAAGGACTATGAAAAAAATTCTAATGGGATAGATATATAACAATGGTGGGATAAATACATAAAAATGGTGTGGATGTACATATATATACAAATGATGTGGATAGATAGATGAAAGGATTGAAGAATTTATATAAAATTTAAAAATTTTGAATTTTCTGTTGGGATTATCTTTTTCTTTTCCCCCTTGATTTTCCTAAATTCAAAATTATCACAACAAGTAAAGAAATTTGAAAACGCATGTTGATGGTAATGATTAATATATGAAAGGACTATGAAAAAAATTCTAATGGGATAGATATATAACAATGGTGGGATAAATACATAAAAATGATGTGGATGTACATATATATACAAATGATGTGGATAGATAGATGAAAGGATTGAAGAATTTAAGATGGTATAGATAATATAAAAATGGTGTGGATGGATACTGTTTAAATGAATGGATTTAATAAGGACAATATTGTAATGTGATATAGATGAAAATAGGTTTTTCTTTTTCTTTTTCTTTTTTCTTTTTTCTTTTTTTTTTTTAAGCAGGGAAATATATAAAGTGAGATAGATATATAATAAGGATAGTTGTAAATAGCGGCTCCCAAAGTAATTTCGTTCTCACTATATTAAATAAATATAATTATTTTGCCAGTACTAAATGAAAATGAACAATTTATTTACTTTACTAATAAGAAATTTTAAGTAGGAAAATAATTTATGTAAATATATTTGGAACAGAAATTTTATTAAGAATTAAATTTTAACAAGAGGTTAATCTTATGCCAAACATGCCATGTGTCAACTGTCATGAAGTGTAAGATGTAATACCAATATATCAATAAAAAATACATAAAACCACTAAAATTCGTAATATAAAATGTTAAGATATACGTCAAACAATAATTCATAATAGACCTAAAGTAAGAGAATGACTAGACATTGTGACATGTAAATTGTAATGCTTATAAAAATGAATTAGTAACGTGATGTCAATAGAATAAGTAGAAAACAACAGATAAAATAACAATTTGATTAAATTTTTAAAAGGATTTATTAAAATGTCACTCAATCGAGCATACTACCAAAAAAATTCATTTACTCAACTTTAGCTAATCTTGTAGGGACTAGAAGCAATTTATGAAAAGCACCTAAAATTTTTCCGTGCACTTTGTCCTTTCTAGATGTTTTTCAACACGGCCAAACAAGAATAAAAATTCAGAATTACCCGGCGGCGGTGGGGGATATCATGGTGCCCTCCGTGATGAGAAATCCACCATTGGTTGATCTTTGGGCGTAGTATTCAACAAGGGCCGGCCCTGGAATGTTATTTAGAGCTCTGCACCTGGTCATAGGAGCAAGCACCACCCTGCATAATTAATTCCAAACTTTATTAACTTCGAAGAAAATAGATAACAATTACATTCGGATAAATTTAATAAAAAAAGGTTAACATTTAAAAAGTTCAAAAGTTACTTCACAACCAAATCGAGAGAATCGCTGATAAGCAACGAAAAAAATTAGTAATTTTAACTGAACTTTTACAGCCAATAGCCTCAATTTCTGTTGAATTAAGTTTAAAATTCATCAAATAACAGCAGAGATTACACCAATCAATCGATCGACAGCTGGCCACGAGTTCGTGCTCAGCGAAACGCTCCCCCCAATTGGAGAAAAGAAAACAGAAGCCGTAAAAGTAGGAATATGTACCTATGAGAAAGATCGAATTTGCCCATCTTGTATGGCGAAAATAGAGCTTCAGCTGCTCGATCCAACTTCATTTCAGCCATCGTTGATCTGCAACGGAAATATTTTGAGTGATCAAAGGAATTGAATGTGCCTTTTATATTAAATTGGATGGTGGGGTTTAAAAAGTGAGTCTGTGTGGGAATAATGAACGTGGGTGGGCTTATGCAATTTGGCACGCGGTTAATGTGATCTTTGAAATTATTGTATGTGTTGACTGATATTTTGTTTTTGTTTAATGGCCCCCCATCCAATTATGAGGGTGAATTGACCATGTTGTCCCTAAAATCTAGGACGGAGAATTTTGTGTCCTAACTCCTAAATGTGGTGAGGGTTGAACAATTAAAATTGTAAAATCGAATCGAAATTACTTTTTTTAGCCGTTGGTCTGAGTTCATTTGAATTCATCGATGTATTGGTTTCGAAACGGTTTAGTTTAGGATTCAATATTTGTAAATTGTTTCAAACTGTCAAATCATTTAGAAAAAAATTTAAAAAAAATTCATTTAAATTTTATCCAGTCCAATTAAAATTAAATATGTCAATGTTGAAAAGAAAGATTCGGTTTTCTCAAGTAGTTTTGAATATGTGTTTTCTCTTGATTTGCAGTAATACAATTGAAGAACACAAAATGAGATTGAAATTTTTTTTTATTTGTGTTCTTCGAAAATATTTGAACCACCAAATAACTTGAAAGGCATCTCTTAGGTTTCGAAAGACAACTAATGGAAAGATTGTTTTAAGAAATTTCATTCTGAATTATTTAAATTTTATGTTGGGATTATTTTTCTTTTCTTGATTTTCTTTAATTGAAAACATTGATTGCTATCTTTTCTAATAGTATTATCAAAATAAAATTTAAAAATTTTGAATTTTCTGTTGGGATTATCTTTTTCTTTTCCCCCTTGATTTTCCTAAATTCAAAATTATCACAAGAAGTAAAGAAATTTGAAAACGCATGTTGATGGTAATGATTAATATATGAAAGGACTATGAAAAAAATTCTAATGGGATAGATATATAACAATGGTGGGATAAATACATAAAAATGATGTGGATGTACATATATATACAAATGATGTGGATAGATAGATGAAAGGATTGAAGAATTTAAGATGGTATAGATAATATAAAAATGGTGTGGATGGATACTGTTTAAATGAATGGATTTAATAAGGACAATATTGTAATGTGATATAGATGAAAATAGGTTTTTCTTTTTCTTTTTCTTTTTTCTTTTTTCTTTTTTTTTTTTAAGCAGGGAAATATATAAAGTGAGATAGATATATAATAAGGATAGTTGTAAATAGCGGCTCCCAAAGTAATTTCGTTCTCACTATATTAAATAAATATAATTATTTTGCCAGTACTAAATGAAAATGAACAATTTATTTACTTTACTAATAAGAAATTTTAAGTAGGAAAATAATTTATGTCAATATATTTGGAACAGAAATTTTATTAAGAATTAAATTTTAACAAGAGGTTAATCTTATGCCAAACATGCCATGTGTCAACTGTCATGAAGTGTAAGATGTAATACCAATATATCAATAAAAAATACATAAACCCACTAAAATTCGTAATATAAAATGTTAAGATATACGTCAAACAATAATTCATAATAGACATAAAGTAAGGTAATGACTAGACATTGTGACATGTAAATTGTAATGCTTATAAAAATGAATTAATAACGTGATGTCAATAGAATAAGTAGAAAACAACAGATAAAATAACAATTTGATTAAATTCTCAAAAGAATTTATTAAAATGTCACTCAATCGAGCATACTACCAAAAAAAATTCATTTACTCGACTTTAGCTAATCTTGTAGGGACTAGAAGCAATTTATGAAAAGCACCTAAAATTTTTCCGAGCACTTTGTCCTTTCTAGATGTTTTTCAACACGGCCAAACAAGAATAAAAATTCAGAATTACCCGGCGGCGGTGGGGGATATCATGGTGCCCTCCGTAATGAGAAATCCACCACTGGTTGATCTTTGGGCGTAGTATTCAACAAGAGCTGGCCCTGGAATGTTGTTTAGAGCTCTGCACCTCGTCATGGGAGCAAGCACCACCCTGCATAATTAATTCCAAAATTTATTTAGCTTTGAATGAAAAAGATAACAATTACATTCGGATAAATTTAATAAAAAAGGTTAACATTTAAAAGTTCAAAAGTTACTGCACAAACAAATCGAGAGAATCGCTGATAAGCAACGAAAAAATTAGTAATTTCAACTGAACTTTTACATTTTAATTAATTGACTCATAAGCTATCAAGGAAGGAACAACTAATAGCCTCAGTTTCTGTTGAATTAAGTTTAAAATTCATCAAATAACAGCAGAGATTACACCAATCAATCGATCGACAGCTGGCCACGAGTTCGTGCTCAGCGGAACGCTCCCCCCAATTGGAGAAAAGAAAACAGAAGCCGTAAAATTAGGAATATGTACCTATGGGAAAGATCGAATTTGCCCATCTTGTATGGCGAAAATAGAGCTTCAGCTGCTCGATCCAACTTCATTTCAGCCATCGTTGATCTGCAACGGAAATATTTTGAGTGATCAAAGGAATTGAATGTGCCTTTTATCTTAAATTGGATAGTGGGGTTTAAAAAGTGAGTCTGTGTGGGAATAATGAACGTGGGTGGGCTTATGCAATTTGGCACGCGGTTAATGTGATCTTTGAAATTATTGGATGTGTTGACTGATATTTTGTTTTTGTTTAGTGGCCCCCCATCCAATTATGAGAGTGAATTGACCATGTTGTCCCTAAAATCTAGGACGAAGAATTTTGTGTCCTAACAAATGTGGTGAGGGCTGAACAGAAATTGTAAAATCGAATCGAAATTACTTTTTTGAGTCGTTGGTCTGAGTTCACTTGAATCCATCAACGTATTGGTTTTGAAACGGTTTAATTTAGCTTTTAATATTTGTAAATCATTTCAAACCGTCAAATCATTTAAAAAAAAATTAAAAATAAATTCATTTAAATTTTATCCGGTCCAATTAAAATGAAATATGTCAATGTTGAAAAGAAAGATTCGGTTTTCTCAAGTAGTTTTGAATATGTGTTTTCTCTTGATTTGCAGTAATACAATTGAAGAACACAAAATGAGATTGAAAAATTTTTATTTGTGTTCTTCGAAAATATTTGAACAACCAAATAACTTGAAGGGCATCTCTTAGGTTTTGAAAGAGAACTAATGTAAAGACTAAGTCCTTGTTTGAGTCACATTTTTTTCTTAGAATGCATTTTTAAATAGTATTTTGATGGAAAATACGTGGTTAAAATATAAATAAAAGTTTTGGATTTGCGTATAATATTATTTTATTGAAGAATGTGATTAAAATGATGTCAAATCACTGTTTAAAAATATATTTTTTTGAAAAAATGTGACTCAAATATGGCCTAAATTATTTAATGCTGACATTTAAAGTGTAAATGAGAAATAATTGTAAAAAAAAAAAATAAAAAAATAATAATAATAATAATAATAATTGTATAACATAAGTGTGTGGCCACCAAATAAGGCAGTTCACACGCAGGTCGGTCCCCATCTGGTATCACCAATAAGCGGCTGCCTTAGTGGCTCCATCATCTGAAATGGGCAGGGCAGGTTGGGGAAATTGTACCGGTGATGTTGTAGAGGAAGAAAATTATATATTTTCTTTTTATTTAATTATTTTCATTTCATTTAATGTGCTATGGTCTTTGACAAAAAAAAATAGCATTTACTTTTTTTTACGACTAACTGAAGAAAAACCAGTAACTTAAAGCATTCTAATTTGAAAAGTTCGAGAATCCTCGGCAGTTTCAATCAGCAATTAGCAGCCTAGGCTTTGGACTTTTCAGTTGTTTAATTTAATTATATTAGTTTTTCAAAATTTATAATCTATACCCCATATGAAAAATATCCAATCGACATCGGGGCTTTGAAGTGGTTTATTACTTGGATAAGAGATGTATTGGGTTCGCTCAGAGGTAATTCGTCTCTTTTTGGGATAGTACAAACGCTAATATGTGCAGAGAAAAGTCAAATTTGGAATATACTCCGACTTTAGGTCAGGTCAAACGGGCCATGAATGTGAGTATCGAATCTATTTTCTTATATATGAGATCGCCCAACAATCACTCATCCAAGATAGGCACAAGGAAGAAAGAGCTAATCCCCCTACAGGAGACTTATTTTTTCATGTGTATTCTTCTTTAATAGAAACTCAGTGCTATGTAGCCCACGGGTCTACTTATTTACGTTATCCGTTTCGATTCTCAACATATCACTTCACAGTGACACCTGCTCACCCCGTGCTAGCAGTAGATATAGCTGATGAGCCTTTCAATAAAAAGTGAGTCATAGCTTTTATAATATCAGTTGTGAATTTATCTAATTGGATCCTCTAAAATAGGCCCAAAAAAAAAAGTGATGTTTTTGCAGGGCTTCTTACACCGTCTAATTTACGAGATTGGATGGGGCTGAGGGCTCGAACAATATGAATAACGATCTTCTTCATACAAAATAAAGAAACAAGGCTCTGAAATATCTCGAACATTTGGTGGGGTGCATATCAATTTATTGCTAATAAATTTATTATGAATATCAGAATTTTAATCAAATTTGTTAGCTTTTGATTTAGATTGGCAAATTCCATGATTAAAATATAAGTAATTGAGTTGTAATAAGAGTCAAAATGATTGGGGTTGATAGAGTCTCAAATGAAGTCGAACACAATTCAAGAAGATCAAAAAAATGGGATTTGCCGCTCAATGAATGCCAAGCGGTGCTCAAGAGCCCAAAAAAAAAAAAAAGCCTGTCGCGAGGTTGGTGCTCGATAAGGAATAACCAAAGTTTGTTTCGCGATTTTTGAACAATTTTTCTATTCTATTTCAACCCAAAAATTTCATATTATAAATACACAAGCCATACAATGTCCCAATATGTGGTTGAACAACATTCCATGTTGGAGAACACATTGAAGATAAAATAAAAAAATCAAAGATCAATTGATTTAATCACACATTCAAAATATCAAAATCCTAAATTCTCAAAACACCAAATCAACCACTTCTATTACATCTGTTAGACTTTTGATGATTCAAGAAGGTGACTGGAGTTCTGATTTGTGAAGAATGAGTTCATTCTTGGTGATCCATGAAGATAAAAGATTTTTGAGTTCTGGAACTAGTGCTAGAGAGCACAATCAAAAGAGTTCCTTGGTGATTACATGTCAGGGATCAAAACCTACTAAGATTAACATATAATATTATTTTATTAAAAAATATGTGATTGAAAAAAAAATGAATTAAAATTAAAATGGAGTCCAAACAAGTGCTAGTTATGTCTGGACCAATTTTGTAGGTTAATCTTTTATAGTGGATTATTTATGGACAAGTTTGCCTGGAGGTTTTTGATCCTTGTGGATAGTTCTTCAAGAAATTATCCTCTATCATCAAAATCCCGATTTTGTTTACTTTCCACAAATTTTTAAACTGCATAATTTATATGTGAGTTTAGATTTGAGAGGTTTAATTCATCTAGATATATTTAATTATGAATATATGCAATTAATATATTGAAAATTTTAAATTTCACATATTAAACCTATTCACCACTTTTAGGAGTTAGTTGGGTTGAACTTTGTTATTTCAATTAGTATCAAAGCCTAAATTCAATTCCTAACCCTAATATTATATAGAAGTATCAATCATTCTCTGTATCTTTGTATTTTGAAGAAGCAATTAGGCTTACTGGAAAGTAAGGAAGAGAGCTTTCCTAAAATCTAAGGATGAGAGAGTTTGGGTGAGTATAGACAAAAGTTAGACTGCTCCTGCTACATTTCACTTTGAACTAAAGATAACCTAGTAGAGTGAAATATCGATAACCTAGTAGAGTGTAACTAGAATAGTTAAGGGTTTCAAGCGTGTGTTGCATTTGTGATATTCTATAATAATTTTTCTCTTCATCAACCCTAGTTGTTCCTCACCAAAAAAATCTAGGCTAGGTACGTAAAGCTGGCAATATATGTATATTTCTTGAAAGTTTATGGGGTCCAAAGTTTTATAAGATAGATAAATATTGGTATTGTTGGTGACTATTTGGATCAAACTAATATGGAATACCTAATATTGTTGTTTGCCAATACTAAATATGCAATATTGAATGAATAACACGACAACTATCAAAGTTCAGAACTAAAGCATATGCATATTTGCTATTGTTAGAACATCAATTCTCTCTCTCTCTCTCTCTCTCTCTCTCTCAGAAACAAGGGTTGGCGAATATTGCGTATTTTGCACCAATTTATAATTTATTAATAATCGAAAATCAATTTTCATTTACTCTAAAACCAATAAGTATTACTCACATATTCATCATTTATTTTATCTATTTATAATTTAAATCAAGGAATTATATACATGTTCCACAGAATTCATTCTTTACTAGCTTTCTTATTTCTCTCGATTGTTATATGTTAAAGATACACATTTTTATAAGGAAGTAATCAAATGCAAGTGACTATAATCGACAAAAATTATAAGCCAAGCAACGGTGCAGGAACAAATATCCTCACTTCATGAAATTATAGTTTAAGAAAATGTACTGGGATTTGAGAACTGATAATAACATAGTATAAAATCAATTTGCATCACTTTCAACAATTGAAAGGTTCACAAGAGTCTAGCAGCTACATAACATTGGATAATGTTGATAACTAATGCTGCGAATTTGAATATTGAAGCAAAAATAATGTAATTTCATCCAGGTAATGAAACATTAATACCAATGGAGAATCTCCAAACAAAATCCAATTTAACTTTCTGTTTTATCCGTCACCTTCAAGATTTTATATTTATGTATATACTTCACAGATCTGCAGGACATGTATATAACTTGATGATAAGGGCTGGGGCAGTAAATTTCTTCACAATACTGGCATGGTACTATGCAATCTGCCATTGAGCCGCTCATCTCTGCTAGAAGCAAGACATCTACTCTTTGGGTGTCAACTAAGTCATGGCCATCTTTTGTAAGTAAAATTTCATTAATTTGAACTTCTATTTTTCCTGGGTTTTCTCACAAATACAGCCCGGGAGAGGATTTGCATAAAAACTCTCTTCCAGCTTTGGGAACTCGCCTGGCTCCCTCATATAAGGGCCTCCAACACGGTCGTCGTGGAGCTTTTTGACTTTAGAGCTAAATTTCTTCCATGTGATTTTTCCTTCGTCAAGTTTATCAACTAGTTTTACAAAATTCATCCTGCACTTGAAAGGAAAAGAAAAAGAAATAGATTCTCCAGGTGAGTAGAGTTGTTCTCTATGCCATATGTAAACCTATTTGATGATGCTTCTTGAAAGAAATGAACTAAAGTTGTTCAATTACATAGCCAAAGTAGTGGGGTTTGAATGTTACCTGTCTGGATTGATAGTTTTCTTGAAATTCTCAAAACGCCTATGACCTTGTACTGCCTTAGCCATATTGCCATCATAGGTGTACACAAAAACATCACTCTGAAGGGCGACAACATAATCCAAACCAGCCAACATATTTTGGTGATTCCTGAAAGGATCTAATTCTTCCCTTGTTGAAAGAGTCGAGTGGGAAAAGATATTTGGGAAACTCTCCGTGAGATATTGCATGCTATCATTTCCAAAAGCTTCACCAGCTACCAAGTATATTCTAGTGCTGGATGGGAAACCCAGGGCTTTGAGCAAGAGGGAAGTCTCTCTAGGGGTCAAAGGGCACCCACCAAGCTTTCTTCTTTCTACTCCATCGATCTCTTTTTCCTTCCAATGGCCGACTTCGTAGCGCATTGTGCGGAGTTCATCATCTTCTTCTGTTGTCAAATTATGACTGCATCCAGTAAAAGCAAGCATATCCTTCTCATACCTGCATTAGTAAACCTAATGAATCAGAAACAATATTATTGTAGGTATTTGATTAGTAAAATTATAGCTAGTCTTGGAAGCATAACAATTATCACTTGAAGGAAAATATTCGCATAATATTTATTCAAACCAAAAACCCTACAACACTTTTTAAAATCCAGAAAATTTTAAGGTTGTTTACACCAATGAGTCCAAATGCTTAGTCTCCATCAACACCTTCGGAAAATCTGTTACCTGGACCGAAGGAACCTCAATGAAGAAACGATGAGTGTATTGCAATTAGGAAAGGCGAACCCCACACATCTCAGGTCTTCTTAGAAAGCCCCATTGCAAGAAACCACGAGACAACATATAAAGATTGTGGGCTGTCGGCTGCGAGATGGCAGAGTTCCAGGGAAGATGAACCACGGACACCATCGAACTGGAATTGTAGAAGACGGAGAAAATAGCGGAGAAAGAGGGGTTTTCACTAGTCTAATTTAAGTAAAGAAAACAACTAAAGAAATAGCAAAAAAATACAAGAATATCTTTAACAATAAAACCTAATTGATTTTCTTAAAATAAGTATCTAAATTTGGCAAATCTTCCTTATGATATCTATTATGATCTCCATCATAAGGTCTTTCTTTTTCTACCCTCAACACAAAACTAAGAATTATGATCTTAAATAATGCATTATTTCTCTCCAAACACCTGCTATTATGGAGGCTATTGTAGTGTTTGAATCTATAAATCATGGAAATTCTAGAATGCTTTCAGTAAGCAAACAGGAAGACAGTTCATTGTCAAGGGGTGATATCATCCATTTTTCAAAATAGCAAGAGCTGATTGTGAAAAAGAATGCTGTGATTCTTGTGAATACTACTGCATGGTTACTTATGGGGAGAAAACAAAACCAAACGATGAAAGAAGAATATCCTAAAGAAGGTTGCAGTCTTCCAGATAATTAGAATGGTTTTCCCTACATAATGATAGATGAAGTAGAAGATCATGAATATTAGTAACTATGGATTCTTAATTATATTTAAATTGTTGGTAGTTCGCATCCACTACATGGCCAACAGAGAAGACACTCTACGTGTGGGTTGCAACTTTGCATTAAAAGATTTTAAAGATAAAAACGATCATAGACCTCTTTTTTGCATTTAGTTTCTAGTAGACCTATCTTTCTTTGGCACATTTAAAGAAAATATACCTGCACCTGGATTCTATTATTGAAACACACCCATATAAATCTTGCCTAGGCTTCTTAAAATGGAAAATGCAACCTAAGTGGAAACCAAGATGTAAAAATGGGATGGGAAGTGTACTAAACACTCGATTAAGCGGAAACCACAATGTTAATACTGGAATATAAACCAAATGCTGCTTGACCCAACAAGAGTTATGTAGAAAGGTTAGCTTTTAGCCTAATGTTAAAAACTTTCTGCTAATATCATAATGTTGAATTGGCAATACAAGTTGAGGAAAAAATAAAGCCACGATGATAGGTAAATATAACCATTTTTTTGGTTCTCTCGGAGAGCCTGAAGTTTAAAGGTAACTGCAGGAAAATTATAACATCCAAACATTTTAATGCTGGAAAAACTTGTTCGACCAAAAGCAAACCTCAAGTGCAGGGAAAGATAAGGATTCCCATTCTGCTGCATTCTCGACACTAAAGTTTCTCCAAGTTTCTCAATTGAGGCAGAGTACTTTAATGCTCTGTAGTTAACATGGCATCGTAACTTCTGTATAGAACTTGGAAGACCATTGTTTGCAAGCCGGGAATCAGTATGAGTAAAGTAAATCACTTTATGCTGCTTCAAAAGTGGAAGGATCTCTGTTTTGTAGTAACTGACCTGTTAAAGGATAATGTGCATTAAGTACTACCAGAGCTCACTGGAATACAAAATAAATGAGATATAATCAGGAATGTGTGCAGTGATTGTTTATAGAGATACAAAGCTCAAAAAGCCAATTAAAAGTAAGAGAAAAGATTTAAATCATATTACATTGGCAGACTTGATTTGTTCTTAGATCCATAAACTTTCAACACAGTTTTTCATGATATATAATAAAAAAAAAAAAAAAAAAAAAAAAAAAAGATTGATTGGGAATGTGAAATTAATGTCCATATTCTGATTGTCATCTTCATTTCTCTTGCATATCAAATCCACAACATTATACTAATGTTCCAATTAGAGTCTAATGGATATGTAGCAACAATCTGTAGTCATATTCAACATTACATATTAGAAGGTTGATAAGATCCGTACCTTGGACCAAGATATTGGTGTCTTTGCGAAGGGTTCAACTCCGGCATATTCCGGAGGTAAAGCATCAACGACGTGAATGTCATCTTTTAGTGACTCAATGAAGTGTTTCCAATCAAACAGATCTTTAAAGCCACTGGATATACAAGAAAAGAAAAATGCCAGAATTAATTAGGAAGCCACGAGAACTAGTATCAAAGCATGTAAACATGAGCATTGTGCAGCAGGTGTCCGGATGGGTGACATCACCAACAGTAGAACTTAAGGTGCCTGTGCAAGTACTACAAACATAAATTTCATATATCTGAATGTACAAATATAGTTGCTAACTGATGAATACAAATCACGAGCAAAATTCAAAGAGCACCTATCATCAGCCCAATATGAAGCATGATCAAGAGATGGAAGAACAAGTGTCGCCTTCATAACTTTAGCAACAGCAACCATATCACAGATCTGCACTCTAAAATTATTTGTTTATCAGATTACAATCAATAGAATTCAACTATGATGACCTATTGAATCATATGAACATATAACCATCAGACCCCAAATCTCATCTGATTTAAGCCACCATTTGCGTTTATGAGAAGAAAACCATTTGTTTTCATGTCCAGCTCTGCAAGAAATAAGGAAAATAACGTCAGACATATGCATATTTACCAGAGGCAATGTAAACGTATTGAATGAATCGTCGCCCTTACTTTTATGACTTTTTGGCCGATCGATGCACTGAGAGAAATTCTCACTATTAGGCCTGGACCAGATCTCAGAATACTGAAAAAACATAATTTCGAAATTTAGTCGTATTTCCATTTGAAGACAGTAAAAAAATTATATTTTCCGTACTTACATGTGCCAAACTATCGTGGCTATCCACCACACCTGAGGCAACCATCACTAGTGTCCTTTCCAACTCACTTTCTCTGCCCCCTTCATCAGTTTCTCCCTCTCTATATCCGTAATCACGAGACCCTTGATCCTTTAAAATTAGATGGGATACTGAGGAGCCATACAAACCCTAGTAGATTTAAAACAATAAAGGAAAGACAACCAATATGAGCACCCAAGAATTCACTCACGCTGAGAGATAGAAAAGGATATTGTCCTAGAACAACAGAGAACTACCTATAACAATGATTTTCAGTCAAACAAAAGCAGAAAATGCTGAACTACTTGAAGCCTACGCAACAGGAAATGAGAAATAGGACTTCAAACATGGAACTAATAGGCTAATAAATATTACTTCCCTGCTGACTACAACTTATAATTTTTATACAAAATGATGCAGTCCCATCAAATTACCACTTGTATTTTCCAATTCTTAAAGTGTAATGAGGATTTCGGTAGAAGTGAATTATATAAGGCTACAGGATATTGTCCATTGGCACACAGTGCAAACTGAGGGCACCATTGGATACTCATCTTTGCAAAATATGTACATGTTGAAAAGAAAAACAGATGAAAATACATACAATGTTTTATTTCTATTATTTTGGTACTAATTTCAATATGGATCATTCATTCACAACTACAGAAACTGCTAAAAATTTGAAAATTGTCCACGTGAAGCTGAAGCCTGACCTTCGATTAGAAAATGAAGTTAATACCCATTAAGTAACAAATCAATCAACAAAGAGAAACAAAAATTCCCTTAAAGGAACCGAGTAAAACAAACTATATTCATTACAAGAAAGTGAGATGAAAAACAAAACGCCACATCAACCCAACAAATACTAAATATGCCAAATCAGTAGCTAAGACAGAATAGTAGCAAAAGGTTTTCGTAGCAAAACCATTACCAAATAAGCAAAAAAACAAAAATAGCTAAAATACATTTCAAGAAAGTAAAGAAACCTGATTGTTTCCAACTCCATCGATAGCAGATCCAAACCACCCAGTAGCACAAATCTTCAATACACCCCAAAACAAACACACCCCACAAAACAACAAGAACATCCAGTGCCTCAACTTTTTCTTTCCCTTAAACTCCAACCCCAATTCCCCCAAGTCCACACCCAAAGATGCAATCTTTCTCCTCAAATGCACTCTTTGGGCCACACTGCTCACATAGGCAGGCCTCCTTTCACCCATAGACTCAGGGCCATTCCCAGAAACTGGGCTTTCAGATCTGGGTGAGTTAAGGTGAAGATCAATGATCTCATGATGACTGTTTAAAGAACCACCGTTATTGGTACTGCTACTAGTATTATGAGTGTTTTGTGAAGAGTTGTTGTTGTTGCGCTTGAAGGAGTGGGCTCGGCGGGTCATTGGCCCGGAGAATCTTGGACTGTTGACATGTTGAGACACGCCACCGTCGGTGGCGGTGGCGTGGTGGTGATGGTGACTGTTATGCTGATGACCCATCAATATTTATGCTTGTGTATACAAATATATGTGTTCATATATCAAAGCACGCGTGTGAATGGGCGATTTGTTGGGGTTGCGAGGAAGAGGAGGACAAAGAGAAGTAGTAACAGTATTTTTCTTTCTCACCAGAAAAAATTACTCATGAATCTGTATACCGTGTGTGCCATATTTTCTTTTCCTCCGGCATTTGACTATTTGTAACTCTTTTTTCCCTCTTTTATTTCTAGTAAATAATAACTACTCAATTTCGAATAAATAAAAAATTTCAGTACTAACTTATTTGTGCATAAGATATTAAGATAAAAGTTGAAACTTTCACTTTTATGATGTATAGTAAAATTTTCCAAAACAGATTTTAAGAAAGAAAAATGGTAGGCAAAGTTAACGAACTAAAAGAGTCGAGATTTCGATACATCTATTTCTCAATTCATTAAGAGCTCAATGAATTGTATTTGTAAAACGATTTAAATGTGTTGTCAATAAGGATTACACCCCTTATATCGTAATATATAGTTCGATCATTTCTTATAAAATACGGTGCGTTTGAATTACATAGGTTATGGCAAATTCTTCAAGCTCAAGGCAAAAACAAATGTAGCATCTGTTAGCAGGCTTATGACACCAATGTAATATGAGCAATCACTCCTGATCAATCTCCCTCAAACTTTATACATGTTTGGTAGACATAATTAGAAATGTTTTACAATGGTTCTATTCGATACGTATTTAATTTATTATTAAGTACAAGAAAAAAAATATTGTTTACAAAATTAAAATAAGTAATGATCAGAATTAAAGAACACTAAGCCAAATTTATTAATGTAATGATTATACTTGTGGTAATTGTCATCACATCCAACAAATACTTAAAACAAATCTTTTCTTTTTAAATAATCAATTTATGTAACAGAGTTTGACACTATTCAATCACATAATTAAAGGGAAACTTGGAAAGATTCGATAGGAGAAGAAATATTGTATAATTAACTATATTAGGAATATTTTATAGTATTTACCACAAAATCATATATATTGCCAAAAACACAATAATTTGTAAAATTTTCCCTCTTTTATAGGGCAAAGCAATCTTAAATTTATGAATATTTTTCATGGAACGCCCACAATCTATCAAGGTCACAAACATTTTTCAAAATCCACAAGATTAATCAAATTTATGTAATTGATCATAAAAGGTAAATAATATACTTTGAGAACATAAGCATTTTGAGTTCGAGATCAATATTTAACTCAAGTGATAAGAGCAAAATTTTATTAGGTCAATGACTTTGATTCGAGTTTCTTATGGGATTTATGGTTGGAATTCGAAAGAAGAAAAAAAGAAAGTATTTTTTTTTTTCAAAATTGTTTCATTTTATTAAGAGTAATACTATTTTCAGTTTTTCACTGTCGTAATTGTTCTATGTGGTATATATGTATCGATTAGTGATTCGATACTTTAATGTGCTAGTTTTTTATTATCTTATATAATAAATCACTAAATGTTACATATATGTCGCATAAAATGACTTTAATAGGAAATGATTGTAAATAATATTATTAAATAGACTGGCCATTTAGAAGAATGCCATTGTGGGAAGGGGTTGAAAAGTGCATAAAAAATCATGTCCTTTTTTCTACACGTTTAATGGGGCCAACACCACTCGCCATCTTGTCTCTCAAAAGACAAAACTGATCCAGCTGGCTAACTTGCATCTCTCTCAATTTAGTCAATTCAATTTTTTTTTTTTTAAAAGTTTATTCTAATTTCTAATTGTGGATTTTATAATATTCATGATTCTACAATATTAGATAATTAAAAAGAGAAATTTGATGAGTAAATTTTATCATTGAAAGCCATTGATGGTGCTAAGGTGTTGGAAATAAATGAATATTATCATCACGTACTATTTTAGGTGGATTCAATGTTTAATTAAAAGTGTCAATAATGGACATATATTAATTGAATTTTTTTTCCCTGAAAATGGAGGTCTATGATATGATTTAGCCTAGGAGTGGACATTTTTTCTCGGAATCGGTGGAACCGGACCGGAACCATTTAGAACCAATCAGTTCGGTTCCGGTTCTTCTAAAAAATAATTTGGTTTTGGGACAAATTATTAATAACCGATTGGTTCCGATCCGGTTCTTGGTTCTAGTATGGGAACCGCGGGGAATCGAACGGTTCTCATAGATTTTTTTTTAGTGGGCATTTTTTTCTTTTTTGGTAAAATATAAGACTAACTCTCCAATTTGTCCCGAAACCAAATTGGTAATATATATGGCTTACTCTTAAAGTGAAAAGAAACTTCCATCAAAGTAAAACAAAATTTTAAAAAAAAATTATAGTATAACAACATAAGCAAAAGGCAGTGACATATGGAAATGAAATGAATGTTTATGTATATAGTTCATATGTCACTTTTTAATTAAATTTCTGAGAAAAATACTGAATTATGATTACCTGAAGGCTCAATAAAATGTTAAAAAAAGACCCTTCAATTGGCATTTTTTTCAATAAAACATATGGCTTACTTTCCAAACACTTTTATTTTGTTTTTATTTTGATAAAAGTTTATTTAATCATTGAAGTACTAGACGGTTTATATAAATTAATATTTGTTTGATAATAATAACTTATATTATTTGGATATTATTTTAAAATTTGTATACTTAGTTTTCTTTTAATCTTGGTATAATATGTTCGGTTCTTCTATATTTTTTTTAAAGTATCACATTAGTAGTTTTTTTAAATTTTTTGTTAGTAAACATTTTATTTTGACATCTTTATATAAAGAATCGGACTGGACCGAACCGGAACCGATTGGTTCGGTTCCAGTTCGGTTCCATAGCTAACAATGGAACCAATGGTTCCATTTCTAAAATTTTTATTAGTATTCGGTTTGGTTCGGTTCCTTTTGGAATCGGATCGAACCGGACCGCGTTCACTCCTAATTTAGCCCATTTATGATTAGGAGTGGAGCCAGAAATATTATTTAGTACCGGCACAATTCTTTTATTGTGTTCATACCCTTTATATGCTTTAACAATTATTTCTCGATTGTTGTCTCTATAACAAACCTAATCGTGCTGACTTTGATTAAAAAAATATCACATATTTTCAAAGAAGATTAGAAACTAGTTTGATAATAGTAAAAAAACGTGACCTACTTGAAATTTCGCTATAAGTCCTGCCAATGAATTTTACCCTTTTATATAAAGGAAAAAAAAAAAAAAAAAAAAAAAAAAAAAAAAAAAAAAAAAAAAAAAAAAAAAAAAAAAGGATTCAAAAAGTAGACGAATAGAAACACACACACAGAAGCTGCCTACAAATTAAGACGTAAAAGTCCAGAAACAGTGATGAATTTCTTCAAGACAAACACGCTTTTACTTCACAAAAGTAGAAAAGTCACAGACACAAATGCAAAGACAATGGTGATACAAGCATTGACATATTCACAAAGAGCCAATAAATAAATAAATAAATAAATAAATAATAAAAAATCCAACATTGACAAATGACAGCAGTATATTCAAAAATAAAAAAGGAAACTGCAACTATGCAAGATTAGATCCCAAAAAATAAAATAAAATAAAATAAAATAAAAAGACTGAGTTGCCTAATTAACCATTAATTTCTATTCTATTATATTTTATTTTTCTCTCTTTTATTTTCAATCATACAATATTTCATAAAATAATATTACTTGTAAATCGATTTTTTTTTTCAACCACTCATATTTCAAAAAAATATTATTCCACCCATTTTCTTTTCCACAAATTGATAATTTGGTACATGCGCATGTACAAAAACACACGAGGGGAAAATAGAGAGATTACCACTTAGTACTTGCCACAAATTTTATCTGCGGGTGGCGATGGCACCGACAGGCGGCAACAGTTCACAGGGCATTAGCTAATAGGGACTGAGTGCGCAAGGGAGGGACGGTTTGGAATTTGATTGGATAAGGATTTGTTATTTGATTTTCCAATTGAATTGTGAAACAAATACAAACCATTAACTCAACTGTGAACTAACCAAGCAGCCGGCTGTCCATCGTCCAAAACAAATACAAACCATTAACCCAACTGGGGAAAATTTTGAATTTATTTATTTATTTATTTTATTTTTATTTTTATTTTAAAACAAGAGGCACAAAAGAAAAGGCCCAATCCCATCATCTTCCACACTTCATCTCTCAGTCCTTGTAAATTTCCAACGGCTTTGCCACTGTTTGTGGGCATCGAGAATTTAACAGGAAATGTTCCAATGTTCAGTCCGGGCACACACTGGACCTCATGGCTCCACCCCTGTATGTGGTCCTTGTTTTAAAATTTATTTTTCTCAAACTTATCTTTAACTACACATTTTATGGAAAATGTTTCAAAGTTCGATGCAAGCTGGACCCTTCATGGCTCCACCCCTGTATGTGGTCCTTGTTTTAAAACTTATTTTTTGTTAGATATTTTTCATCATTTTGCATGTGTTTAATTTTTTTGTTTTGCGAATGATTTGCCGCCCGGATTAGTGTTTGCTGCTGCGCAATGGGGTTCGACCTACCCGAAAGAGAATTTTATTTTTCAAAAGTTTTGAATAGGTGCATCTGTTCAATTTTAACAGTCACTTCCAAGGTATACACCTATTCAAAGAGTTGTCTCAGTGTCTATAAATTCTGGACGAATTCTCATTTGCAAATACATTAAAACAATTTATTTTTCCTTCTTTCTCTTGGCATCAATCAGTTATATTCGAGTGTTTTCTTGGTTTGATCAAATAGTCACAATTTGAATCAAAGACCTCCATTGTATTTTGAGAGAGATTTTCTATTATACCCTGTTGTGACTTTGTTGAATAGGGGAGAAACATCTCTTAAATGATAACGTTTCATTTCGTGCCTTGGAGTTCATTAACGTGTTCAGATTTTCCTACATTATTTTCAACATTTTTCTCGAACTTATCTTTAACTACACATTTTATGGAAAATGTGTCAAAGTTCGATGCGGACTGGACCCTTCATGGCTCCATCCCTGTATGTGGTCCTCCTTTTTAAAATTTATTTTTTCTCGAACTTATCTTTAATTACATTTTTTATGGAATTCACAATTTCTATCAACTTTTTGACTAAGTATTTTATCAATATCAATTAAACTCTACTAAAAATTTGATTTATAACAATATAATTGT